TGACGTAACAAATTGTCCACCTTTAAATCTTTGATGGGGGGGGGTCTGCTTCATGGAAATCTGATCTCAGGAACAACACAAGAATGTCACCCCCTTTACTTGTGGCAGTGGGAAGTTCCCAGCGCCCATCCCCAGGGACCAGTTAAGTGAGTCTTGGTAGAGGAAGACAGAAGAGGCAATGGCTGTCGTCTGTGTAGGACTGGGGGGGCACAACCGGGTCTTTAAAACATAAGCCGAGTGAGAGAGGCAGAGGAAGTTTCCAGTGTTATGCTCTCATGCTATTTATGTTAATGAACACATTACGTCTCGCCGAGGACTCAAACACAGAAGGATCCGTGTGTTACATGGAGGTGCCTGGAGGGAGTGGGAAGGAGATCGAGCCTGGGGATTGGAAGGGAGGAGAAAAATAGGGAATAGAAGACAGGCCAGCATGCTAGGAGGCGAGCAGCTGGGTCCCACAGCTTGGGGTTGCCTGCATTACAACAGACAAAAAGCACAAGCCCCATAAAGCTTCCAGCTTGGGGATGGTCTTGGGTGCTCAGCATGGACACCAGAGCATGGTGTCCCTCCAAGATTTCCTAGTCCCTGGAACTAGCCTGTCTGGCTGCTTCAGCAACAACCATCCTGTTAAAGTCCCAAAGAGAAGAGGGAGGGAGGATTCCATAATGCCTGGGGAACCCTGGTGGCCAGGAGCCCTCCTGCCCAACCTTTCAGTTCCGTGGACATCCTAAGGCTTCACTGCAGAAGCAGAGGTCCCACCCCCACCCCCGCTTCTGTCTGTCAGTCATTTCCCTTCAAGATACCCCGATCCTGTTCTCCTCCAGGAGTCCAGAGACCCGTGGCAAGCCTGAGGCTATTTCTTGTCTTTCCTCCTGGAAGAAAAATAGCACTCTGGGAGCTGTGACCGAGGTCCAGCTAAGGTTTCCAAAGATAAATATTCATTCAGAGGGAGGCTTCTAAGTAGCAATTGGCCCGCCATGGGCTCAGGGCGTGATCTCAAGGGGTGAGGCCTGGATCTGCGGAGGGAGTAGTGGACAAGATGGCTAACCATGGCCACTGCTCCTGTGAAGGACCCTGCACTCAACCGGGCATCCACACTAGAGCACTGGTCTCTCACGGCCTTCTCCTGCCCCTTATAATGAGAGCAATAGTGTCGGGCAGAGCTGCTCTGAGGGCCGGTGAGTGGAGATTTCTGTAGCCCTCACCTGATCTCCCACCCTACGGTCCTCACAGGAAAGGGTTCCATGAACTGCTGTGTGACCCCTAAGATCCCTCTTGGGGCTGTTCCAGACGCTGCTGGTCTGCTCTCTGCTTCTGTAGCTCGGCCCTTCTGAGGAGCTCTTGGTAGTTTTTCAGGGTGGTGCAGACAGACCCCTCACCTAGACCCAAATGTTGGCACTCTAGACTTTCCACTACAACATGCTCACTAAGCACTAAGGGGTGATGCTAGAGCCCTAACTTCAGACACTTGAATTCTATACTAAACGGCAAGATGGGGAAACTGAGGCTCAGTGAAACAAGCACACATGACTGACAGTAAGGAAGCAATAGTCGGTGGGACTATAGACTGGGCACTTTGGATCCTTGCATTCTACTGTCCTTGTGGGGACCAGGACAGCTGTCATCTCCACCAGCCAGGGACTGGACCTGTTTTTATAGGACAAGCTTTTGGAAAGGTCTAGGACATAGGGGAAGCAGGTGAGTGCAGGCTGAGAATGGCATTATCTTAGCATTTACACTAGATCAGGGCAGGAAACCAAGAGAGTCCCTGTTTTTGTTGAGCTCTGGGTCACCACTGTGGCCTCCAGAGACGTGGCCATGATTGCAGGGGTTACAGGGAGGCCCAGTCATTGGCCAAGGAATGCAGGAGGCCTCTAGGAGCTGGAGAAGGTATGGGGAGTGGATTCTCCCCAGAAGATGCATTCATTTTACTCAGTGAGACACGCTTTGGACTGCTTCCCTTCCCCAAACTCTGTTGATAAACGCTAACGTACGAAAAGCAGAGCCTAACACAGACCCTTCGGCAAATTTCTACAAGTTAGAGTATTTGTTTCTTAAGCTCCTGCTGTCTTGGTTTTGGCTTCTGGACTGTGAGGAGGGACTTGAGGCACTGTTCCATCTCTTCCCTGGCTCTCCTGTGAGCCTCATCTGTCAGGATTAGGGCTCCTGGCTGGGCTGACTCAGGGGCTGGTCATGCTGTGTTCACCCCCAATTAAATCGTTAATTATAATAGATCCAGCTATTAGCCTGCCCCCGGTCCTTGCATGCTGCCCCCCTCCCCTCAGCAATGCTGCATGTGGAAGTCTGTCTTTGACACTCGCCATCCATCGTCCCCACAGACCTCAGCTTTGCTTGGGTGGGGGGAGGGGGGGGGTCACAGTCCCTAGGGGATTACAAGCTGGGATGTGGGTTCCTTTCTCCATCCCTCACCTGAACCAAAATAAGGCAAAACTTGTCTCCCCAATATCAAGCAGGCAGGCTGTCTGTTTAACCATCAGACTCTGCTGCTGGCAAAATGGTTCCTGGTGCACACCTGTCTTCCACCAGGAGCTTTTCAGAGCTGAGGCCAGGACACCTTTTCCATTAGCCTCTTCGTGTGTGTGTGTGTGTGTGTGTGTGTGTGTGTGTGTGTGTGTGTGTGTGTGTGGTGTGTACCCGGGGGACAATCTTGGGTATTGTTCCTGTCGCTGTCTACTTGTTTTTGAGGCAGGGCCTCTCTCTGGACTGGCAGACATCTGAGCCTCAGAGATCATCTGTCTTTGGTCCCTGCCTCCCCAGCCCTGGGACCTCTGCCTGTTTTTGTTGCTGTTCTTGATTTTGGTTTTGGGGATCCAAGTCAGGTCCCCAGGCTTACCCACTGACCTAGCCATGTGTCATTTTTGTTTCTTTGTGGTTAGACATTGGGGAACATGGGCTAAAACAGGGGAGTGATGGGGAGCTGGGGAAGTACCAGATAGGAAGTTGCTCACAGGGCTCAGTGGGAAGGAGGGCATGTCGTACCTGTCATCTGCTGGGGCATTGCAGGCCTGAGATGGGGGTAACTTCAGGCACAGTTCAGAGCCTGTGGCAGGTTCATTAAGGACTGTCTGCCAGGTAAACAGGCCAGGGCTTTCGACGGCTTCCTTCATCCCCTTATGTTTCTTATTAGTTCTATTTAGGTTGTATTACCGTCCACCATTTCCCTGGTGGGAGCGAGGGGAGGGGGCTCCTTTTCTGAGTTTAGGCAACCAGCCCAGGTAGATTCTTGGAAAAGGGCAGCCTCTGTGAGCCCCCGGTGTTCAGGAAACATCTTGACCTTTCTGTCCCCTGGGGCGGGTGGCTCACCTCTTGCCAGACTTCAGCAGCCTACTCAGTACAGAGAACTCAACACGGTTCCTAGGTCTGTCTGATCAGGCTGCAGGGCACTCACAGCCTGGGTCCTCCATCTCTGGGAAAAGGCTCAGTGTCTTGTTTTCAGTGTGCTGGTCCCCTGTGGGTTTGGAGTATGTCCCACGGCAGACGTTTTTCCACTGGAATGGGTTGGCTCAGAGCTGGGTTGGTAAGAGCAACCCCCTGGGGCCATGCCTCCATGCCTGGCCTGACTTCCCTCCCCCTCCACCCAGCAGGTGCCTAGGCAAAGCCACAAAAGCTTAAAGACCACAGAAAGAAAAACCCACCACGTGCTCACCTCAGCGCACTGCCTTAATCTCCAGGGGCACCACTTAACCTGGAGGTGTATTTACTGGTGAGACACCCTACAGTGACTCATAGAGTGTGGTCACAGGTGTGTGTGTGGGAGGGGGTGTCAAACAGACCCCAGTGAATATCTACCCAGATTTACAGAGGCACTTTCTCCCTTCTCCAGTGAATCAGACCGGTCTCTACCCCCCCTCTCACCTTCCTCTGCACTTAGCTCAGGTGTCATTGAAGAGGGGTGAATATGTGTTTGCCTCCCACCTATCATCCACTTGGGGAACTCTGGTGCCTAGCACCCCTTAAGAGCATCCACATTGCAAGTGGTTGAGAAAATGTGTGCTGAACGGACACCTTAGCTCATGAACCTGGTCACTAGGAGGCTGTGTTCACCCAACATTAGATGAACCTTTTCAGCCCCCATCACCGCCCCCCACCACAAGAGCTTTTAAAAGCCCGGTTCTTCCTTTCCAGGAACCCCTCCCCCATTAAGAACGAATGCATTATGTACCAACCGTCTATCTATACACATGGGCTGCTGCTGCTGGCCACCCTGGCAGGCTGTGACCTTCCAAGGCAGGGCCTGAATCTCAACCTCTACCTAAACCCTAGGAGGGCTGCCCCCATCTTGTCCCGTCTGCACCTTGGTCATTGTTCAATACAGGCTTGTTGAAAAAAAAAAAAATGAATGAATGAACATTGAGTACTTGGTATAGTGAGCTGCCCACAGTAGGTGTTCAACCAATTTTTGTACAACTCAGGGAATGAACGAATTGGTCTCTTTTCCATCCACACCTCAAAACCGTAAGCAAAGATGGGTCACTCAAGCAAGGGTACCCTGAAGCTAAGGAGACCTTTAACTTCCCTACTAGATGCTGAGGCCCACGACCGTTGAACTGTCCCCAGGACCTTGCCATGGACCAAGGACGGACCAAGTAGGCGGTCCATAAGCCCTCTCTGAGTTCGTAACTAATGAATGACTTAATGAGGCCCACTGGTGGGAGTGCTGCATTCCGTGCCTATAGACAGTGAACCAGCAAGTCAAAGACGCCCCTGCATCCCAACTCCTCCCGGGGGACCCCAAGAACCCAGCATGCAAAGTCAGGGTGCTCCTGGGTGCCCCGCCAGAGAGCGCACTTCGCGTCCCGGGGACCCTTCGAGAGGACCTGGGGCTGGACTAAACCGCGACAGCATCCCGCACGGCCCGGCGGCCTCTCCCGGGATCCTAGGCATCCGCAGGGGGCACCGGGGCCGCGGCCACGTGCAGAGCCCGGAGCGCCGCTTGCAGGAGCAGGGTCCCGCCAGGGAGCAGCCCGCGAAGTTCCCACCTTAAGTTCCCGTCGCGGCGTCCCCGCCTTGGAGCTGGCCGGGCCGCAGCTCGGTCCCCCGGTGCAGCAATGCCCGGGTGAGGATGCGAGAGGGGGCTGCAGGCGACGCGTAGTGCCCGCTTGGCCTCCCGGGGCTGCTGGCAAACTTTGGCCCTGGGGCCGCTAGACTGCACTCTCGGACCCCAGGCTGTCCCGCCTCCGCCTCCTGGTGTCCGCCGGGCTGCGAGTGCGCCGGCAACGCGGCAAGGCAGCAGCTGAGGGAGGTGGCGAGGCAGGAGGCGGGACGGAGGGAGGGGACTGCGCACGGGGCGGAGAGAGGGGCGGGCGGCGGGGGATGGAGCCACCGTGGGACCCCGCCGCGGAGATGCCCAGCACCTTGGCCAGACCCGGAGCCCTCTTGGGTGTTGGGTCCTGGCGGAACGCAGCGCCGTTATCTCTTCATCCCGCCCGCTTCCCCCTCTCCTGCGCCCCTCAGGGCCCTGCCTGCCGGTGGTGGTCTTTAAGTGCTCGCGCCCCTCCTCCCGGGGCTCCCAGCCCGTGGAGCAGCCACCTCTCCAGTCCCGCATTTTCTCGGTGATCGTGGGACCTTCGCCCCGCCCTTCCACCCCAAGCTCAGTGAGTGCCAGGACCTGAGCCTCATTCCCCATGCGGGTCTTTATCGTGGGAATGCCACGTGCCCTATCTCGGGTCCTCAGAAGGTCCAAGCGCGCGCGTGACACTGTGAGTGTCACGTCCGGAGGGTACTTCATGCGTGACAGACCAAGAGCCCCATGATGCGCTCCACCTAAACATCGCCTTCCAGGGGCCACATGAGCCATATCACGTGCCTTCTCCACTGGTGACCTTGGACTCTTCCTGCCCCTGAGGCCCTAGGGCCTGCACTATCTTTGCGGTGTCACCATAGAACGGGTGCCCTGTGCCCCAGAGTGACCCCTGTGTTCTAGTTGCCCACTGTCCGGGGTGGACTCTGGCGTTGGGACCCAGTCCTGCAGACTCTGGCGTTGGGACCCAGTCCTGTACTCGGTAGCCTGGGGAGGGCGGGTTGGACTTCAGAGGCCTCTGAGTTGACAGAAGCTCCGCCAGGCATTGGGGTTAGGTGGGAGGGCTGTCTGAGAGGAGGGAGAGCCACCCGTATGCAGAGCAGGCTTCTGGGGACACTGGATTGGTACTGTCCTTTCTCCTTTCTCCAAGCAGGAGGGACGCAGAGACCACGCTCAGGAGTGGGGCTCCTACTTCCGGGGCTTCATTACAGAGAGGGTGAGGCTTGGCCCTGGCCGTCAGCTTTGGGTTCACTCAGCCGGTGGGTGGGGACAGATGGCAGAGTCAGAGAGTAAGCCAAGGACCTGCCCCGAGAACTCCCCAGCTTCTGCAGAGGCCGCACCGGGAGAGAAGGGGCTGGGGATTGCAGGAATAGGGAGAGGTTCAGAGAGGGGAGACACTATAGAAGAACAAACACGGGACTCCCGAGGAGGAGCCAGAACCCTGGGCCACAAGCCGAGAGAAATGCAGCTTTGGAAGATTTGCAAAGAGACCCCAGTAAGGGACAAAACGAAGGTTTCTGAGTTGTGGAGAGACCTGGAGGCAGTGTGCTGGAGGAATATAAGGAGGCCAGCATAAGGGTTCCCTGGCTATGTGGACCCTGGTGGTCAGTGGTCCCGGGTCCCGTGTTGAGAGTGTGGCTGATCCTTGGTGCTGTATCAGGCCCCTGCCTTCTTGCATAGGAGGACCCGTGCTTTCTTGCTTTCCTTCTTTCTTGCTTTCCCCCTTGAGCCTCAGGCTCCACCAGAGCAAGGGCTGTGCTCTCTTCCTTCTGGTCGGCAGCTTCCACACTGCTGGACTCAACAGTGATTGTTGGAGGGACCCAGAATGGATCGCCTCAGAAAGTCAACTGCTGTCCCCAGGGAGGACCACAGGACCAGGATGTGAGTAGAAATTCTCAAAGCCTTCCTGTGTTCTGAGTCCTCGGGAGAATTCTTCAAACCCAGCAGACCCTGCTTACATTACAGCCCTTCCAGCAAATTCCCTGGTCTGAGATTTTGACTTCAGTCTAGCCCCACCCCGCCTGACCTCAGAGCTCTCCAGAAATACTTAGACGCGTTGTGAGGCTCAAGCTAGCTCCTTTATGTTCAGGATCAGGGGACCTCATGGCCACCTCTGAAGGAAGAGGGATTCTGCCTGTGGACTGGGCCCGTCAGGACACCAGGCACCTGAGCCTGGTGCTGGGGTGACTTCCGGAGAAGACCCAGGAGAGCAGGGTTAGACCTGTTCCTCCCCTGTCACCCCCACATAGTCTCAGACCCAGGCTGTTCTCAGGGGTGAATTTATGATCTTATCCCCCGCTGTGCTTCACCATGTCCAATAAAATCCTTCTAAATCCTTTTAAGGAGTCCCTCTTTGCAGTCCCTCCCTCCTGTGGAGGCTTCCAGATCCTCGGCTCTTCCTATCTTCATTACCCTCACAAGAAGCATCCCTGCCCAAGTTGTCCTGTGGAGAAGGATGCTGATGTGCTGGAGAAGGCTTCCTGAAAAGATGAGGGAGGGTGTCAGGCTTGCTGAACACGGTGTGGCCTGTAGGGAACAGGCACACACTTGAACAGCAGGAGAGCTATGCCACACAACCCTATTTTAGTTGTCTCTACTGGGTTAAGTTTTAAGAATTTTGAAATTGATTGCCAACATTTAAAAAAATCAGATTTCATATGACATTTTTTTTCTTTTGAAAAGCTGGCAGATCTGACTAGCATTTTTTTTTAATTTTATTTTTATTCATTTGAGAAAGGGTTTCTTGTGACCCAAGCTGTCCTTGAACTTACAATGTATCTAAGGATGACCTTGAACTTCAGGTACTTCTGTCACCACCTTCCAGGCGCTGGGGTTACAGGTGTGCACCACTATCACAATGCTTGCTTTTTAAATTTAGTAAAAATAAAAAAGATTATTGAGACAGGGTTTCTTGAAGGCCAGGCTGACCTTGAACTCCATACGTGTCTGAGGATGAACTTGAACTCTTGGCCTTCTTGCCTTCCTGGAAGGCATCTTTAAGGAAGCAATACTGGTGAGGGCTGTGGTTTGTTTCTCAGCCTACATTTAAATTACTGCCACCAATTCTAGGAGCCCGAGCTGGTGTGGGTCATCTTGGCAAATCACCTAGAGTCACATGGTAGATGGCAAAGCCAGATCTGAAGCCAGGCCAATCTGACCCCTGAAGTTTAAGCTCACACTGAAAACCAAACGCCATTCCCCTCCAAGCAGGAGGAGACGCTGGCTGCCTCAGGACATCCTTAAAAGGGAGCTGCTGTCCACGGGTTAAGAATGTTTTCCTTCTTAGCCACCAGCCACTGTCAGCGAGTCACCAAGTCTGGGCTGCTTTTCCAAGGCAGCAAGGGTTATCTACAGCTGTCTGAGGTTCCTATCTATCTGCCTGAGAGGAAAAGGCTTAGATTAGATTAGAGCTGTGAGTCCTAAGAGGCTAGAGGGGGGCTGGGTCTCATTCTGCAGCTTGCTATAAGGAAAGATCTGTCTGATGGGTCAAGTCAGGGAGAAGGAGGGCAAGGTATATTTCTCTCCAGGAGACCCTGTCTTCTGGTCACTCTGTCCCCTTCCTGTGTCCCTGATTCTTGCCAGTCCTGTTCCTCTACCCTAAACCACCAGCCCACAGATTTCCTTTGTCACCTTGAGACCCCTCATGCAGGCCAGGAGTAGGTGTGTGCAATGTGTGAGGATGAGCCACTCAAGGACACGCCTTTGTTTAGTTTTTGAAAACTTGATATTTAGCACATTATGGATTATTTTTGACATTAATTTTGATATTTTAAAAAATTGTATTGAACTGGGTAGTGGTGGTGCACACCTTTAATCCCAGCACTCAGGAGGCAGAGGCAGTCAGATCTCTGAGTTCAAGGCCAGCCTGGTCTACAGAGCGAGTGCCAGGACAACCAGAGTTACACAGAGAGACCCTGCCTTGGAAAAAATAAACAAACACAAAAATTGTATCGAGATGTTATTGGTTCTCCTTAATGAGTTATTTTGAGTAGCCTACAAGGTCACTTTATCCCATTGCCTCATCCCAGCTCCAACCTGGAGTCTTTTTCTTTTATTCTTGAGGCCTCGCTGGCGTGGAACTATGTAGACCAGCATGGCCTGGCATTCACAGAGATCTGCCTGCCTCAGCCTCTGGAGTGCTGGGATTAAAGGGTGTGGACCACCACGCCCAGTCTCCCTTTTCTTTTCTAAGAGCACTGGCTGCTCTGGCAGAGGACCTGGGTTCAGTTCCCAGCACCTACATGGTGGCTCTCAATCTTCTATAACTCCAGTTTCCGGAAATCTGACGCCTTCTTCAGGCCTCTGCAGGTACTGCATGCACGTGGTGCACCCATACATAGAAAAGTAAATCTTAAAAAAACTACTTTTAATTTATGAGTATGTATACATGTTCATCTAAGTGCAGGTGCCCACAAAGACCAGAAGGGGGCATCAGATCCCCTGGAGCTGGAATTACAGGCTGTAGCTAGAGTTTTCCTGCCTGGCCCACAGTCAGGACAAATCTCTGTCACCCGCCAATCCCACAGCCGCTCAGACCCAACCAAGTAAACACAGAGACTTATATTGCTTACAAACTGTATGGCCGTGGCAGGCTTCTTGCTAACTGTTCTTGTATCTTAAATTAATTAATTTCCATAAATCTATACCTCGCCACGTGGCTCGTGGCTTACTGGCGTCTTCACATGCTGCTTGTCATGGCGGCGGCTGGCAGTGTCTCTCTCTGTTTTCCTGTTCCCTCAATTCTCCTCTCTGTTAGTCCCGCCTATACTTCCTACCTGGCCACTGGCCAATCAGTGTTTTACTTATTGACCAATCAGAGCAATTTGACATACAGACCATCCCACAACAATAGGCAGTTCCCTGATTGTGGGTGCGACAAGGTCAGGTCCTCAGCAAGAGCAGCTGAGCCATCGCCCTAGTCCCTGCCTGGGTTCCTTGAAAGGAACTCTACGTCGGGAGTTCCAGGCTAGCCAGGACTACATAGAGAGACCTTCTCCCCAAAACTGAGACACACAAACAAGCAAGGAAGTCGGGGCTGGATGCGGGGGAGCAAGTTTAGGTTCCGACTGTGCC